CAGTATAAGGTGATTTTATGGGCTTTTCCAGGTTCGCTGACAGGATGCTCATGGAAGTTCAGAGAACGAGACGTGAGCTCAGAAGACACGAGGCTTTTTGGTAGAGGGTCCTCAGGCTGCCACTGCACATTAGGAGGGCATCTCCTCTGTGATCTTTAAAATCTCTCTTGAAAACCCATTTTTATGCAGCTTTTAATGGCACGAGAGTCTTTGTCTTTGCTAGGTTTCTGTATGGTGCATGTATGCACTTTAGCTAGTTTTGTACTGCTGTAAGGTGCTGTAGAAATAAAGTTTGATTGTCTCGAAGTAGAAGAAAAAACATCTCCTAATAGTGTTAAAGCATACATTCTCAACACGGAGGCAGTAGGAGCACGTCTGCTCCACCCTCACAAAGGTGAAGCAGAGCGTGGACGTGAACTTCCTGCAGCAACTACAGAGGTTTGGTCTGATGATCCAGTAACTGGTGAACGTGCGAGCTCTTCCGTCACCGTGTGGTTTGGTGCAGCCACCAAGCAGGGCAGCAAAGGAGAGAACCAGGAAACAGGTGGGACATTTCACCACACTGTTCCATCTTTTTGAGTTGAGTTCTGTCATGTGTAATGTCAGCAAATAAATGTGTGTGTGTGTAAGCAGGGAAAGCCACACGTGGTTAGAATAGTGAACAATAACATCTGCACTGAGAGCACTACGACTTCCAGATCCAGATGAACAAGCAGGTGCTGAACTACACCACAGGGCCAGGTATCAGGTCTTCAAGTGTTTTAATGTATTTCTGCCAACAATAAATAAAAACATCACATCACCTCTTCCTCCACTACACTGTCCTCATTCCTGCTTCATACTTCTGTTCATTCTGTTTATAAATGCAAATCTCAGTCCGAGCCAAAGCTTTGTAGTTTGTGTCACTGCTGCTCAGATTGTTGCAGGCGGAGTCACCCACCCACCACTCTAAACCCACTCTGGACATATGGCATTAACGTGAATTTAGGGCAGTTTTCTAACTCATTTGATAAAAAAAAATAAAAAAATAAAAATAAAAAATAGAAGTCCCTGAGTGGGGTGCGGTTTGGACCAAAACCTGAACTTTATGGGCTAATATTTAGTTACACCTCTCTCAGGAGAGGCATGTTTGCCTCCTCAGATGGGGAGCTCTTTAGAAATGCTAGAAACTATCACTGCCACCACAGACGTTCACCAGCTTAATAAAAGTCATCTGTGATTTTTAGAATCTAATCGGAGTGAGAAGGGATTTATTCAACAGTCTTTCTGGCACATCTTTGTCTCGTTGAGGCATTTGTTCAGATTCAGAGATCATTTGTTGGCTCTAGCTGCCAGACGCAGACGAAAAACAACTCATTTTGGACTTTTTTTCTTCCTGTTGCACTAATTACTTGAGATCTGTGTGTCATAAAGACTGCCTCAGTCAACAGATTTAGTCCAATTAAACACATTTTGCACAAATCAACTCATTAACAGACGGACTTGTTTTTTTTTACCTTCCTCTCCTCCCTCCCTCAGCACTATTCCTGTCATGCGTTTGTGCAAGTTTTTATTTTTGAAAGGCTGAAATCACCAGTGACGCAGATGTAAGGGAGGAGGAACCTGTCACCCCACACACACACACACACACACAAACTGTACATGTGACAGTTTGTGTGTGTGCATCAACTCTTTTTCGGGCTCATTATGTGTTGGGGCACAGCAGGTGTTGTGGAGGAGTGTCTGGGATATTTTAGATGCCACACCCTGGGTGCTAACTCTGCAGAAGTCGCACTGCTGCTGCTCTAAACCCCATTCACATTTTCTGAATAGACAATTCATCCCTTCGTTGCATAAAATACTATTTACATTCTTGTCATGCATCTTTATTTTCATGCATTCTCTGTAATGAAGTGTAGATTTAAACAGCAGTGATGCTGTGACTGATCTCACATGCAAAGCTCTGGGTGACTGGTGTGCAACCTGCTCCAGTCATCTTCTTGTGAAAAGGCCAGATGAATAAAAAGCTACATTTATGTATGAATAAACTCAAATGTGTCATGGAGGATTTATTTGCTTTGACGCAGCTCCCCCTGGAGACAATAGAGGCTTGGTACAAGCTTTACACGCGACTTTGGCTGAGAAGATAGTGAATAATATTTATATTTAAGTTTATGATTAGCTATGATAGTTTTAGCATTTTTCCGCATACTTTTTGCATTAAGTGTTTTCTGCAGCTAGGTGTCTTCCTTTCAGGGCCAGAATGGGCTACGACTGGCTTCATGTTCAAAAGTGATCTCAAAATGCAGCTTAAGTGTAAGTTTGCTTCTGCAGCTGACTTACGGCGCGGATTCACTCCAAACTTACCAGAGAATATTTGCTGCTGTAAAAGCATAAGATAAAGTTTAGTGAAGTTATCTCAATCTGAATTCATAATAATTTCATAGAAACAGAGAAAATCAGTAAAAAGCTATTTTAGAAGCACATTTAAAAATATGCATTTTTATGTTTATGTATGAATTGTGTAGCGTACCCAAAGGCCAAGTATTCACACAAAAATGGTCAGAAATTAACTTTTAATTTCCAGACACAAACTGCGTCACACATCCAGGGACGCATTACATCTGTCTGGCCTCCAAACAAGAAAAGCAAGGACCTACGACCTCGCAACCAAATAAGTTAGCCATAATAAGTGCTGGCAGACAAGGCCATGCGAAAGACGAGACTTTCTGCATTTTCACTCTGAATCAAGTTCATCTTCCTTGAATCATAAAGGACTTTACAACTGTGTATAGGTTGATATAATCAAATGTGTTCAATAAACAAGATGTTTAAATCACAGTGTTTGAATAATGTGTGCATTAATCAATGATGAGTTCAAACGAACATTTTTCCTGTAATGATTCATTTCAGACTTAAACTACACCAGATCAGTAGTTGATTTACCAGGTTGATCTACCAGCATACTCACACATCATAAGATTAATATTAAGGTTTTAACATTCACTTCACATAAATGTGTAAAAACATTTTCCACTTTGCACTGAGAGTTAACCTCTCGGAGTATCTGAGTGAAGGTGTGATTTCTGAGGTGTTTTGGTAACGCCTTTTAAACGTGTCGAATTCTGATTTGTCAAATTTATAAACAAAAATTTTATAAATACAGGAATCACTTCCTGATCTGGTTGGTTATCCCTCTGCCTCCTGGTTCGGCCGAACTGGTGAGCAAGCATTTGGAACCATCCTCTATTTTTGACCCCAAGGTCAAAGCCTCTCTGCAACGCATGCGAGTGATATCAGACAACGGCTCTTTTAAGAGCCACCGAACAGCCTCAGACGCAAAATACACTCCAGCATCCTGCCATCATCTGAAGATAACCCAGACTACTCTGAGCTGTCTACGGGCTCCAGTACCTGAGGTCCACACCATCGGCAGTGTCCATCTCGACCTCCTGACCCCCTGGATCGCTGGAGGATCTTCACACAAGGGCGCGTAGGTCGGCACAAATTGTGTCGGATGGTTTTAAAAATAAATTTTATTTCATCAAACCATACAGCCAAATTGATTTTATAACCCAGACACCACAAGCTGTCTCAGAAAGGTTTTATTAAAACATCTAGCTCCCGTTCCATTCATCATCTGCTATCTGTACAACCATCATTTCATTCATACCTTGTCATGTATTTTTTTTTTAGTTTAGAAAAATAGAATTAAAATAATTTTTATGCTATAATCTTGACTCAGTCTGAATTAATATAAAGTGTGTTCCCTGAATAAGTCATACTAAAGTCTTCAGATTAAAAATTCAAATTCATATTTATATGGAACATCACATCTTATTGATCATTTAATATATATGTAGCCAATCCTTAATGCTACAATTGAAATACATTAAAGTGCAAATGAAAGATTATTTTTTATCTCTAACTAGGAAGCCAATTTTCTACAAACACGGGAGAAATGAAATCGCTTTTAGTTAAAAATAAAAAATAATGTTGGATTATAATCTCTTATAGGTGTCATCAGTCTGTACAAATGGGCATTTTCGTGGAGATGTTAAGTGTCCCTAGTTGTAAAGGTTACGGGCCCATTGTGGGCAGCAGTAGCGTCGGAAGGTTGCAGGTTCGATCCCAGCTCTAGACAGAGAATTCTGCTGTTGTGTCCTTGGGCAAGGCACCTAACCCACGTTGCCTGCTGATGGTGGTCGGAGGGACCGGTGGCACCTGTGCTCAGCAGCCTCGCCTCTGTCAGTGCGCCCCAGGGCAGCTGTGGCTACATCGTAGCTCATCACCATCAGTGTGTGAATGTGTGTGTGAATGGATGAATGATACATTGTAGTGTAAAGCGCTTTGGAGTCCTTACTCTGAGAGGCGCTATACAAGTGTGGGTAATTTATCATTTGTGGACATTAAACATTGTTTTCTGCTGCTTCCTGATTGGATGAAACAAATCCTCCTAGAGATGTAGTGATTGTATTTTTCTGTTATCTCATTGATGCTGGAATGGAGCATCCACCGTAGGTGCTCAACACCCTCAGATACCTGCACTGGTAAAATAAGCCACAAAGTCCTCTCTGAATTAAAATATCTAATAATATATTTCAGGATTAATAGCAGCATTGAAAAAAGCTCCCATTGTGTTTGTTGATGTTTATTATTGTGACTAAGCTATGGTAAATCATCATTACTAAAAAGGAAATGTATTTTATTTCCTAGCTAGTCTATTCGAAGCTATTCTGTTATTTATTTATGTAGAGCTGCAGGGTGAAACCCCAGAATTAGAGCGATAAGATTCAAAATAATAAAATAAAAATCTTTATTTTAACAAAACATTCCTAAAAGTAGATAGAAAATATGAACCCAGTCCAACAGAAAATACTTTAAGTATGTTTTTATTGTAAAAAGAATGTGATGTTTTATGTAAAATGCACACTTACAGGACATACTTCCTGACGATGTGGCACTTCTTAAACATACCACTAGGTGGCAGCAGACTAAGCTTTATAAAAACAATAATTCCCTTTATTTCAAATCAGTGGCTACAATTCCTTTTTTGAGGCACAATGAGGTTTTGAAATCCTTAAATTAAGCTTGTAACAGGATAATAAAATACCTGTGTTGTTTCCCAGAACACACCAAACTCCTGAGACGTCACATGCATGATCCCTTAGAAATCACCGAGTCCTTCAGTCGTGATCCCTCAACTAAAAACATTCAGTTTGACGACAGAATCTAAAAAATCTGATTCACCTTCACGTTTCGAATCCCTGCTGTTAGAAAACAAAGCAAACTGTAAAAACATAAACCAGGCGGAGACGTCCCAGTAAACAAACAAAACTGTAAACAGTAACGGTTTGATTTAACGCTACATCGATATGTAAAAACAAACAGATTTGACTAAAATACTCCTGAAAATACATACTTCTGTGGTTCTGTCAGCTGTTTATTTTACCTAAAGCCTTACTGCTATAAAATTAGTTTCATTGCAGCTTTAACACTATTGGTGTTATTTATATCAACAGAAAATGTAATTATGTAATTAATTAACGTATAATTGTTGTTTCCCTTTCAGAAGATAAAGTACAAGATGACATTTCTGAGTGTGTCAGAGCAGCAGCTAGTCACCGTTTCTGATTTGTACCTTCCTTCGTGACACTGATGGATGAAAATGTCAGATATTCAGTTCTGTTAGCTGGATAATAATACTGAGTGTAGAAAAATAAATGCGTTTTATTTGTAGAATGAGCCCCTACCGACTGAACTACATCTAAAATCCCTGCTTTAGTTAGAAACCTGACAGGTGAGCACAAACTGGGGTGTAGAAGGTTTGACTGAGATGAAGTGAAGCTGTTTTTTTTATCTTCCGGCTCTCTGAGAGGTTGCTGTGCGACAGTGCAGGTAGACTGAGAGAGGATGGATGAACGCTAGCAGGCTGAGGATCGTCAGGCCCACATTCACCTGAAAAAGAGAAGAGGGTTCACAGCTGGGAGCCAAAGTAGAGACAATAACAGACGCAGGTAAAGAGGAACTCACGTATAATGGATCTCCACCCAGAACTCCCTTCACCAGAGCAAAGCAGGGATACTGCAGCAGAGAGAAGACCGCAGACAGAGCCATGACCAGACCGTACAGCTTCCCAAAGTGGCACGATGGAAACCTACAAACACACAAATAAAGATGTTACATAAGATACAAGTTTCTATAACTCCCTACAGCTGTGCGGTACTCACGCCACACTGATGAAGGCGGCGTTGCCTCCGTACAGGAAGGAGCGGTTGAGCACCTGCAGGACGAAGGTGAGGTACTGCAGTGGCAGGTAGGGAGTGGAGGCGCACAGAGAGAACAACACACACTGCAGCGCCGTCAGGAAGAGAGAGAGAACCGAGGCCCGCAGGTCGGCCTCCTGCTCGCTCTCTCCTGCAAACACACAAACGCTCGTGTCAAACTTAAACGCAAATAAAGAGTTAGTGAGGAATCAGCAGCTTCTGCTCAGCCCTGTTTGTTTAGATAAGAGTCACAGCAAACGTCATCTACCTCAAAGTCCAGGAAATAAGACTTCAGGCCTTCAGCAGCAACAGGGGCCTCATTTACAAAGCTTTCTTACACCTGGAACAGGGTCCGAAAACTTTCCACGCACCCTTTGTTATTTATGAAGGAAAACTAGATGTGCTCAACTTTTAGGAAACTTTGGACTTGGTGTAAGCACATTTTGGAGATGGTGAGATGTTTCATTTAGGACACATTTTCAGACTTGTAGACACACACACACACACACACACACACACACACACACACACACACACACACACACACACACACACACACACAGGTGCATTAACTGTGTCACGTGCAACAGAGCACCTATGAATAACACCGGTAGAGTTGCACTGGTCGGGTTTTCCTTAGTCAGAAGTTCTGACAGAACTGTCTTGTTCCAGCTTCCTGTCTTATTCCCACCTATTCCACCTTCCTCAGGATCCACTGATTTCCCTCTTTCCTATTCACTCTCTCTCTTTCTTAAAATTTTTTCTTTTAAATCGCAATTGCTTATTTTTGCTCATTTTAAATATATTTTTAAACATTTTCTAAATGCTTTTTTATATTTTTACATTTTTTTATTTTTTGTTTTTGTGAAGCGCCTCGTGATTTTTATCTTGAGAGGCGCTATAGAAATGATATTTTCTTCTTCTTCTTCTTCAGCGAGGAAGACGTTTGTTTGATATGAACATTATTTCCTGCCTGAAGCCCTTTTGGGTTAAATTAAAAGTTTTCTTCAAATATTACCGTTAGACCGGGAACAGACAGCGACCCCTCCCTGAGCACCATGGTACCACTTTTATCACTAGGATAGATGATTAGTGCCATCTCAGCCTCCATCTGACCACTTCTTCTAATACTTTCATTTATTTATTTATATCCGCTGATCTCTCTGCGGCTCTGTAGCTCACCGCTGCAGCAGCACGATACCGCTCCAAGGGAATAAAACTTTTTTGCTGTGCCTTTGTCATGCGCCAGAGCGTGGAATTCCCTTTTGGTTGTCATGGTTACCTGTGACATGCCATCCATAAGCAGGTTAGGGTTAGGGCACAAAGAGGGGGCCTGCGGGCCGCCTTTTGAGGACCACTGGTTTAAGGTTTATATAAAATCACACATGACAGGCATGCTGTATATAAAACACAAAGATAATCTATGAAGTGTAAATAATAAAAATCATCCAAATTCTCTGAGGAGTTTTGATCAGCTGCTAAGCATCAAAAACTGAGAAATAAAATGTTCAAAGAACCTTTCTTGAGTGTTTTTAACATCCTGAGAAAACTAATATGCATGTTATTAGAGAGAGCGTGATGTATATCAGCACTGGTGTGTTTTAGAAGCCTATTTAGTGTTTACCTGCAGCTCGGGGTTTGCCCTTGTGTCGGTCCATGATGAGGCCGTTCCAGGGAGCACACAGCACGCCACACAGCTGGGTGATGGCAAAGGCATTGGTGTACCTGCTCACTGCAGACACAGAAGGAAAGATTAACAGCTCTTTGGGAGCTCTACTGGATAAATAAAGCAGAAAATGAACCCTAAAAAGGAGAAAGTTAAATGATTCATCCAAAACCATAAAGGCAGTGTGACCCTGGTGTGATACGAAGCTCGTACCCAGAGAGGACTCTCCACCCGTCAGCCTCTGCAGCATGGGGTTGAGCGTCCCGATGAACAGGTAATGTCTGAGCTGCATCACCGACAGCCAGAGCAGGTGCCACAGGAAGAACCTGGACAGGAAACACTCACGGAAACTCTTCTCTGAGAGGAAACATGCGGGGAAGCCAAACGGATCAGAATTACAGCAGCAAACCAAGACAAACTCATTATTTAAAATAAAAACTTTCATGAAGCGGAACCTTGTTTTTTTGGAGCATCTTTGTTGAGCGGAGCTTCTTCTGCTGCCGTGCAGACGGTGCCGTTGGCTGCTCCTTCAGCACTCACAGCCTCAGATTTACCACAGCTCATCCTACATGAACAATGGATTTAGATAAATAACTCAAAAGCAGAATGCTTCAACAGAATTCTGGCCTGCGACTTCTGACCCATCACTTGAAAATGTGCTTTTCTTGTTGTATGACATCACAGGTGCTCTTCTTGGGTAAAAATGCCACGTTGTTGTTTTATCTCCGCAAATAACACAAGCCTGAAGGAGTTCTGCTGTGTGGTGGAGTTGCTAATGAAAATGTTTAGTTTCTACTAGCAGAGCAATGCTCTGCTCTCTCCTGGACGCTAAACCAACAACAGCCTTCCCCACTGTGAGCCAACATGGGTGTGTCTATGAATGCTAATCTACAGCGTGATGTAGAGCTGTGTGGTGTTGTTCTGTCTCTGATGTATCACTGTGGATTTTCTTTCACCAGCTAATGTGGCACATAGGGGTAGAAGACCATTTTAATGTTTAACCTCAGAGTGACCGACCATATTTAAAAAAGAACAAGTATTATACGTTTCTCTTTTAATCTCACCTTTAACGTCTCCTTTGAAACATGTTTAAATAGGTCCTTTTATGTTTCTGAGCTTTATTTTCTCCTTGCACCTGAAGCAATTGTTCAGAATGTATTTAGGATTTATTTCATACCCATACGTGTAGCGATCAGGCAGCGGGTAGGGGATGAACTTTCTGGGCAGCAGGAAAAAAGTCCTGAGGACGTGAATGACGCTGCAGGAGGAGAGGAAGAGGAAGGCGGCACGAAGAGTGATGCCCGACTCGTGTAACAGCTGCAAAACAAATAGGACAAGGTGGAGATTATTGCCACTCAGTGGGATTACCTCATTCCATCCTGTTATTTGATGATTGAGTCACCTTGATGATGAGGAAGAGAGCTGAAGAAGAATCAAATGCCCCATTATAAAGAGTAATAATGGTGGAGCGATGAGAGCCAAACAGGTTTCCAACCTTCACAGGAAACACAACCAGACTGATTAGAGCGACTGAGTGAGAGATTCAGTGTGGAAAAGTAAATCCGAGGATGTTTTTCTCAACTTGACGGTAACATCTCTAACATCTGTTTTCCCTGAGGAGGTGAAGCAGCCAGTAAAAGAGAGTTTAGGGCAGATACTCCACTTTTCCCAAAAGAACACTGATATCAGGACATTAGTAATCTTGGTCACTTCTACAAAAACATTTAACAGAAAGCGTTTCCTTCAGAGGGCGAGTCCTTGATGAGAAGGTCCAGATCGTGGTTTTCTTTATAAAACCTTTTTTCTTTGTAACATCAAAGCGCTTATGGAACTTCAAAGAGCAGAAAAAAGAAACATCCTCACATCTCAAACATAAATCCTGACTCAGTGAAAATGTTACAAGGAAGCAGATTAACCACGTGAAGAATCAGATTATTATGAAACCAATCCAAAGTACCTGCATGTTAGTCATCAGAAATAAGATTCCTCCCACTGCCAGGAGGGAGAGAGCTGGGAAGAGCAGGGAGGCGAGAGCTGATGGAGAAAGAAAAGAAAACGTTTCTGAGATTTTTATCACAAAGGAGAAAACACACTCAGATTATCGATATTCACCTGATGAGGAGAAAGCCACCAACAAAGTACCGATGGTGTAGAGAAATCTGGATGGGACACAAACATTTAAAACTGTGATGCTACCAACCACAAAAACATCTGTAAATATGAATTTAAAAACTGCTTCAGAAACATCTGGACTCTCAGACACAAAGTCACAACAAACTCATTCACATCCAGATTAGTGTCGTTTCAGCTACTTTAATGTCCTTTTCAGGACTTATACTGAAGCCCGTTTCATCCCCATCTTTACTTGACTCTTTGGTTGTTTTCATTCCTTGGCTCTTTTATTTTTCTTCCACATTCTTTAAGTAGAAACATCTGGATGAATGTTGAACCAGTTTTTTAATTTTATTTATTACCAAAACAGAAAAAAAACAATACCAACAAATAAAATGAGGTTTCTCAAACCAAGAAAATGAAAAAGGAACAAAAAGATAAAAACTTATGTTATCTGCCCCTTTTTAACTAAAATGACATATTTACAGTGAAATAACAATAATTATAACTTGGCCTACACAAAGCAATTGCTTGACTGGTTAGCTAACCCGAGTTCAATTCCAAAGACTCAGGTGGATTTAGAAAACCCGTGCATGAACTTTTATCAAGTATGAGGAGGTATGGAGAGTTTGGTTTGGGTGTGTGAAACCTGAGCAACAATAAATAAACCCGATCTCCTGGCATGTGTCCATCACAGAGAGCACAGGATTCACACCTCAACATGGTTTTGCTTGTGCCTGTGTTAGAAAGAATCAGTGCACGAACAGATCATCTTTTGGAGTAAATCCAATTCAAGATGGCTGCCATACCTAATAAGACCTAGAAAACACAAAGTGGTTGTAACCCTTTATGTTTAACTGTGGCTGTGTCTAAATGTAGGTGCTGCATCATTCAAAGGACAATGACGCCACAGAGATGCAACAGAGACTCCTCCAAATACATCCTCCTTTACCCTGGATTTGAAAGACAGGTTGGTGCATCCTACATGGATCACCATATCCTAAGATTCATTACAGGCTGAACAGGATACTTTTGCTTTTGTAATAATGGCGAATGAAGCGGAGGAGAATGACAGTTGATATGTAAATCTGGCAGTACAAAAAAATAAAAGCTCTGAGGGTTTTGTTGTTGGGCTTTTATGAAATTTAAATAACAAATATCATCCAAGTTAGTTTTTAATATAATGTTGAGAACAACCATTGTAAACAAGCTCATATGATGCTGAAGCTCCTTAAAGTGACAGTGTGTATTTTCCTTGGCGATAGGGGGCAGTACTTAAAGACATTGGCCAGAGGCAAAATTCCTTTGAACGGCACGTGTAAAGAAGTATTAAAACCTCAGATGAAAAAGGTTTTTTGATTTTCACGGCTGGAATTTAAAGAAAATCTGATGTTTTTTTTACTGGCGCAGGAATAACAGAAACTAACTTCCGTTCTAAGTCCTGAGCAGCTGGTGATGTTTCACAAGGCGCTCTGCTGAAACAGCGATAGTAAACAACGCCTGACTCCGGTGTTTCTGCGTTAGCGTTATAGCAGAGAACAATGTGTCATCAGTCAGATGTAGCTTCTGAAGCCTCGCTAGTCAGTCAGATTTGTTTTTTTTTTCCTCTGGGATACGGCGACAAGAACGGATGTTGGATTACCGGAGACGTTCAACCGAACTCCGTGCCCTGCAGCTGGATATCAGAACCGAAGGCGCAGACATGCTTTGGACCGTTTCACTCAGAAAACCCACGGCCCGATTGAGACACGGGAGGATTTTGTTAGTCTTCGGAACCTAAATCGGTACAGTTTAAGTTTGTTAAATATTTCATGTCTGTGCTCCACCGGTAGCTTTCAGTTAAGTTCTCAGCTGATTAGCTCCATCATATTGTCCCAATATAATTCAGTAATCTACAGATGAGTAAAATAACGTGTTGCCAGCTTTACTGCTGTGTGTATTTATTTATATAACATCGGAAAATATTTAAACGATTGCTTACCAGAATAAATTTTCCTGATGCTAACTCGCTAGCTCAGATCGCTGTTTTCTAATCCAGGATGACAGGAGGTTCTACCGGTCCTATAGGAGGATCTATTGTTGAAAAATGGGGATCATCTTTTAGGTTATATCTGTGTGTGTGTGTGTCTGTGTGTGCCGTAGCTTTCACAAATTACTTGTTACCGGAGCTAACACGGTTAGTGCTGTGGCAGTCTTGCTAACGGGACTCGCCTGCTGGAGTCCAGAAGTACCGGTGCGGTTCTAGATGGATTAATAGATGTAGGTTGTTATTTTAGATCAAACCTATGTTATTTAAAAATACGTGTAGGACACGGACATATGGCTCAGACCTTTAGCTGCAGCTGTAAACGCAATTTTCTGTTTTTATTAGGAACACGATAGTTAAAATACAGTGATTTACCATGCTAGCAACAGCAGCTAACTAGTATGGCATGTGTGAGTGACAAATGCAAAACACGGTTCTTCGCTGCCTGGAGGAGAGAATTTTGATTTTCTGTAATGATTTATGACTAAATTCCTTAACAAAATGAAAAACTGAACCCAGTTCATATTTAAATAGATGGTAAAGCGTAGTTATACTGTATTTGTACAATTTTAATGCCGAGTCTGGCCACTACCTTGAAATCATAGCAAGCAAGTTTGTGTTTGAGTAAGACCTTACCAACGGATGCCCATTAGGTTCAAAAATACGTAAATGTGTAAAACGTTTATGAATGAAGAAAGTTATGTAACCTTAACTGTGATGCATCTTTGCCCCAGGCTTCAAAATCAGCTGTCGAGTCAGCCATTTTAGACAGTCCCAGCCTCGCTTTGCTGAGTGAACTTTTTAGCGCAACAGTGCCCTCTAGTGGCTGGTAGATGTAAACATAAATTCTGCGTTGTGCTCGTCAAAATACAATTTTAATTTTTTTAGCTTTTAAAGGAAGAACTGTACATTCAATCTGCACATCTCTAAATGCCATGTGGAGACATTATTTTTAAAAATATATCTTTTTATTAAAATGTTCCATATTCCACCTTTTAATTTATTTTCAACGACAGTTTGATGGATTTTTCCAGAGATTAATGATTAAAAACTACACATTGTCACTTTAAGAATAAAAATACAGTGAATGTAATAAAAAGCTTTGCAAAATTTTAAGCTTAATGCAGAGTAGCTACTGTTAGGGGCATCATGGTTGCTAGGTGACAGGATGTACACCAAGGTAAGGGCAGGAATACATTTGAAGGCTAACCTGCCCAATTTCACAGCTGCTCATTAGGTCTTTGTCGTCTTTGTGGTCAACAAAGGACCCAGCCTACATCAACTGGGTCCTTTGAAGGATGCTGTCCCTGAATTTGGACTCAGCCTGTACCTCTTGCAGATAATCAGGTAAACTTTGATGTGCTTTTAGCTGAGAGAAAATCACAGCATACATACATTTTGATTCTACAAGTGTAATGGAGAATAAAAAGTGTTGCCCAGGCAAGAATAAATAAATGAATAAACAACCTAGGGTGTTTAACAAACACCTAGAATGATAGTGTTTTAATACAGAGTAGAACAGCCTAAGGATGACAGGCCATGACCCTCACAGCCTCTAGGGAACAGGTGTTCCTCAGCCTTGATCTGTGGATTTAGAGGCTGCTCATACTTGGGCCTGAGGGAAAGAGGGTGAATAGTTCAGTGTTCAGTGTGTGGATAGGAGGGTTTTTTCTACTCAGCATGAGATGATCTTTGTTTAAAATTTATGACATGAAAATTGGAGGACCCACTTGAAAACAAGATGCTTAATCTCAAGTGGTTTATTCTCTGAAAATATGAGCGAATAAATAAATAAATAAACAAACAAAAATATACTTTCCTTTAAGGAATGCAAAGCTGTTAGTCACTGATGGAATTGGAAATCTTGCTGGATTCCAGTTAAAACAGAAAACAACATTCGTTAGTGTGGGACATTAATGTAATTACTAATTTGCAGTGGTCTTTAGAAGGAATGAATGCCCTGTAAATCATCCTCTGGGGGAAAAAAGCTCTGGTGCGCCCGTTTCAGGAACAAGCAGAATGCCACATCAGAGCTGAGCTTCAGACGACAGGATTTGGGGTCTTATTTCCTGATATTTGGACATCTTGCCTCTAACTGGATAGTAGCAACACAACTCTATCACTGACTTTGTTCTGATGTTTTATCTCCACAATGAACTCATTTACTGCCATTCATGACTAAAGTCGTCATTTTAAATCCAACCACTTGCTGCCATTGATGACTATTTTTAATAGGGCGGGTTTGGGAATGAGCTCCCGCACCATGAGAGTAAACCAGAGATGGGAAATGCTAATGGTAATGGTTAGCTTCTAATAGCCACAAAGTTTTCTGCTGTTTCTTGGACGCTAACAACCGTCTTCCCCTGAATGTTAAGTATGATGTAGATCTGTCAGGCTTTTTAAATCCAGGCATTTCTTCATCTACTTTCTGTCAGAACTAATGCAGGAAGTGTAAAAGTTCAGCCTGCATGCTAAACTCAGAGTGACAGATTTTAATAATTAAAACATGTTTTTTTTATATTTCCACACCTATAATCGACAGTTCTTTTTTATATTCATTTGAATGTATCTGTGAAAAGATAAAAGCAGCTAAAACTTTAACACCCCTTTAAAGTTGCTTTGATAACTTATATTAAATTATCCTAAATACACTAAAGCAGGGATTCCCTAAGTGTGGTGCGCGCACCCCTGGGGGTGCGAGAGCTGCCGCTAGGGGGTGCGCGAGGTGAAAAGTGTAATGACTGCGGAACTCAGAAGTCTGTCATATGTCACCATTAGCGTAGCCAGAAACTCATTTGTGGGTGGGCCAAAGAAAAATAAGTGGGCCCAATAAATGTAATTGAAAACAAGTATATTTTGCGCGTGCGCGCGTGTGTGTGTGTCCTCAGCATGTGCCCTAGCTTCATAATAATGCTCCGAGCTTCAGCGCTCTGGCCTGCGCACGTTGTCAATAGCAAGATATGTTCAGTATTTGACCATTTTAACGATATTGGAGGAATCTGAAGGTGGTGAGTCATTCTG